GTGTTGGGAGGGGATTATGGGGCGGGGTTTCAGGGGGGGAGGGCGGCTGCACAGCTGGCGCCGGCGTGGTTGGGCCCCTACAGTGTGCCCCGCCGCCCGCACCCGCCCCATACAGGCGCCCCCTGTATACACACGCGCCCGCACCTTGATTGGGGGCGCCTCCTCTGCCGCCACGTCATAGTTGCGCACCCAAAAGGGGAAGTCCTTCCTGGTGTCTGCGACCATGCCCTTGCCGCTGACGGTCACGCGCAGCAGGTACCTTCGGACGAGGCCGCAGCAGTGCGGTTCGCACGCGCGTGGCAGGGACCGTGAGCGATGAGCGGTGCGTCGTTCAGGGGACCACAGGGACCCCTTTGCAGCGGCCAAGGCTCAAAAAGAGAAAGCTCGCTGCGCAGCCGGCCTGGCGTCCAACTGCCGTGGACCCCCGCAGGGGCCGGCTGCGCAGGAGCGCTGTCCCACGTGGCTTGCTCCAAGCCCGGCGCTGCATGCGCCCGCGGCCGTTTTGGCCCCTGCCCCAGCCCCGTCCGTTGAGCTGCAACGTGGCGCCGCCAGAAGCCCGTTCGCTCGCAACCATCCCTCGCCGCCCCGCTCCCCGTTCCGTCCGGCCGCATCCGAACGCCACGCGGCGGCAGCGCGCTCGCACCTGCAGCGGACCTGCAGCCCCCGGTATGAGTCATAACCCATCTCCACGTTGCGGAACTCAAACGGCAGCGGCCGCGATGCTGCCGACGCGATGTCCCCCGGCGGCGACAGCTCCCGCACTGCGTTGTGTTGGTGGACAATCCAGGGTGCAAGGCGGTTAGATGGGGTGTGGCCTCGTGTCGGGCGGCGGGGAGCCCAACAGTGTACAGCACACGGCAAGCCTGAGCCGTGGCCTCGCCGCTGTCTTCCCCACACCACCGCAGCTGATTGGTGCTGCTCGCTTGGCCAAGCAGCCCCAGGCATCAAATTTACGCCACACTCACGCCACAAAGCCCGAGCACACCTTGTGCCACCCCATAGTAGGCAGGAGCAGCACACAGCAGCACAAAACCCCATCCGTTTGCCTGGACGCAGGCATGCACACCTCGTACACAGCAACGATGCAGCAGGCAGCGGCGCACAGCACATAACAACGCACAGCTCTCCGCAAAACGGCAGGATCACCCAGCACTCTGCAACAAGACCCACGAGCGCACAGGGGCCAGCGCACGGCATTGCCACACCCACCGAGCGCTACGAAATCGTGGTACGTGCCCCGCTCAGAGGCCAGCTCGATCTGCCCAATCAGCTGCACCCTCACGCCGTTGTGCTCCACGCGCTTGGTGGTCAGAGGCGTCACGCGCACCTGTGCGGCACGGCGGCGCCGCGAGCGCAGCCGGTGTGGATGCGCGCTCAGTCGGGCGGGATGCACATGGTGTGTGTGGCGGCGCTCAGAGCAAACGGGGTCAGCAGAGGCCTGAGCTCAAGAGTTCAACACTTTCTGATTAGTAAGGGCGATGAGTGGAAGTGTGCTGATTTGTGAGCCGCATTGCAGCTGCTGATTGCGAGCGCTGGCGCGGCGCCGGGTTTGAGGCGTGAGCTCGCTAGCTCGCTGCGCCACCGCCCTTCAGGCGCTCTTGCCTGCCCCTGCAGCCCGGGCGTGTGCGCACCTCGCCAAAGATGCTGTCGTGATTTGTGTACAGCGGCAGCTCCTCAGTTTCAGTGCCCTTGCCCTTCACCACGGCGGTCTTCTTGTAGTCTGCGGCGCCATCGGCGTCCTTGAACGCGACGTCGATGCGGCACGTCGCAGACTGCACGAGGCCCAGGATGTTCTTCATCGCGATCCCTGGCTGCCGCGGCACTCTCTGGGTGATGAGGCACTGCCTGCAGGCACAGTTGCAGGGTGTCACTGCTCAGATCAGCGATCAGGACTGACAGTAGTTATGAATGGTGCGATGTCGATTGAATGAATTAAAGACTCTTTCACAGATAAGTTTTGTGCATGCGTGCTACGGTATTCACCCAATAAATTTGTACTAGGCTTGTGTAGACCTGAAGAGCTCGCCAGCGTTGTTACAATATGATGCAAAAAGCACATAGAGCGTGTCTGGAGATGCGTGATGTGCTGGCGTCATGCCATACAGCGCAACACGGTGTTGTCGCGAGCAGGCGGCCAGCGCGGCGGCGGTGTAGCAGCAGCGACGCCGACCAATGGAGCGGCGGCTGGGGCCCTGCGGCACATGCAGCAGCGGTCGAGGCGCCAACGGCGTCATTAGCAGCGGTAGGTCACTGCTTGCTGCAAAATATGCCTGCCGTAGGTACCAAGTATTGGCCATGGGACCGGAGCAGCACACACTTTTGCATGTGCGCAGCTAATTGCTTTGCGGCTGGTCACGCACCGTGCTAGCTGTAGAGCAGTGCAGAATATGATGTTGCACAGACCCAGATTCAGAGAGCACGCGCTGTAGGCTCCAAACGCACTCACGCCCTCACTCAGCCACAGCAAGCCGCGCCCCGCCCTGCCGCGCTGGCCAATTCGCTGCCCCAGCTCGACCTGCGCCTGGCGCGCCCCACCCGCCGCATCGCGTGGCACCGGTGGGAGCGCGCCTACGTGGCGCAGCTGCAGCGGCAGGAGCAGCAGCTGGCGCTGCTGTCGGGGGGCGGCGACGACGAGTGGTATTTCTCGGTGTGAAGATACTTTTGTGGGGGGAAGATCGATGTGAAGGCGCTTGTTGAACTGTTGCGCCCAGATGGTGCTTTTCACGCTGGCTGCTTTGCATTGTCAATGGGTTGGCCAGCGGGCACGTCGTGATCAACGCCCAGCGAGCAGAAAGGGCGCGGTTGCGGACTGGCAAGGCTGCGCGTGCGTGGCCTCGCGGACTGTGGCTGTGCGGACGAGCCTGGCGGCGGCAGCGCCGGCCGCCAGGCGGCTGCAGGTCACTGATGGGCTCATCCCCGCTGCACACCGCCACCCTCCTGTCGATGTCTAGATGTGGGACAACCCAGAAGCGCATCAGCAGCTGCTGGAGGACCAGGTAAGGCTTTGAGATACGCGGCCGAGCACAAAGGCACATTCTTACACACACATGTGTGCGATCGCGCAAACGCACGGGCTTGCACCCCCCAAACAAATATACACATGCACGCATGCACCCGGGACAGTCGAAGCACACCTTGAGAAAATGCTCTGTCGCTCCACAAAACATACAAAGTCACCACCCCCACCCCCACTCCCCATCAAACGACAAGGTGCGCTATGCGGCGTACCAGGACGCGCTCATGGCCGCGGCGCCGCTGCTGGAGGGCCGCACCGTGCTCGACGTCGGCTGCGGCACGGGCCTGCTCAGCCTCATGGCGGCGGAGGTGCGGGGCCTTGGGGTAGCGCTGAAACGGGGAGGTGCGACTGTGCGTGGCGCCCTTCTCACCACGGAGGCGCATATTCCCAATGGTGTTCATGATCGGAACCGGCTGCTGGTAGCCAGTATCGCAAATACCATCCCCGTCATGCGCCCACCCTGTCGCGCGGTCTCCACACGGCCGTCTCCGCCACGCCGCGCGTCGCCCCTGCAGGCGGGCGCCGTGCACGTGTACGCGGTCGACGCGTCCCAGGGCGCCGCCGAGCTGGCGACCCGCGTGGTGGCGGCCAACAAGATGCAGTCGCGCATCACGGTCCTCCACGGCCGCGCAGAGGCGGTGGCGCTGCCCGTGGATAAGGTTGATGTCATCATTTGCGACTGGATGGGGGCGGCGCTGCTGCACGACAGCCTGCTGCCGGCGCTGGCAGCGGCGAGGGACAGGTGGGGGGCAAGGGGGCCGGGGGCGCGGCTCAGGGCGGGAGGAGGCGTGGTGGTCCTGGGCAGACCAGGTTGAGTGGCCGACCAGAGTGGAGAGGGGAATGTTTGAGGATTTTGCTTCCAATCGCGCGGCCATGATGGCAAGGCGCGGCTTGTGCATGCTGGTACCGTCGGCGTGTGCGAGGGGGTTTTATGGTTCAGCACGTCGGGCTCCCACGCAAAAGATTCAAGACAAGGACCTGCTTATAACATCGAGTCGGCTTGGATCTTGTTCAACGCATGCGCTCCCGCTCCCGCGCCCCCGCGTGTGCATGGCGCAGGTGGCTGGCGCCCGGCGGGCTGATGTTTCCCGACTCGGCCTCGCTGTATGTGATGGGCGTGGACGACCGGCAGCACGTGGCGGATAAGAAGGCCTTCTGGCACGCGCGGCAGCTGGTGGGCTTGGCTTGGAGGGCCTTTGCCATTGTGTGTGTGTGTGTGTGTAAGAGTGTGTGTGTGTGTGTGTGTGTGTGTGTGTGTGTGTGTGTGTGTGTTTGGCCACGCGGACGCAGGCGGCGAACAGGCGGCCGGGTTTTGCTGCACCCCCTGCCTTGGCCGCGGGTCGGCCTCGGGTGTGTGGGAACCTCACCGATCCCTCACTTTCACACAGCCCCCAGCATCTATCCTGCAAACCTTGCAATCCTGTCGCATGTCTCTCCAGCCACCCCTCACACCCACCCATTCGCCCGCCCATCCCCCCAGGGCGACTTTGACGTGAGCCCTGTGCTGAACTCGGTGGTGAAGTTCCCGCGCCAGGACACCCTCACGCGCCGCAGCCAGGCGGTCACGGGGCCTGGCAGGCTGCTGCAGCTCGACCTTTACAAAGCCGGCCCGCAGGTGAGGTGACCCTTCCCTCCACTTCAGAATCTGAGCACCAACTCCGAGGGCTAGGGTGCACGATTGCTCGCCAGCAACGCCAGGGGCCGCGCCACGGGCGGGGTCCGGATACTCCACCGCACGGGCCCTCAAAGCGTGGAGCTCTGGGAACGTGCATTGGTTGCTGCCGCTCAGCGCTCCAAAGTTGCTGGGATGCTGCGCCACGCGCTGCGGGGCCTACGTGACCTGGCACGCCCCTACTCAAGTGCACGCCACATCCCAAACACCGCAGCTGCCCCGCTTGTGCCGCCTCCACAAACGCTACGCACACAAACATCCCCCATGCCACTCATCCGCCAACCAAGCCAACACACACACACAGACGCACACACACACACACACACACACACACATCACCCCTTTCCCCCTTAGGACCTGACCTTCTCTCAGCCTTTCAAGCTGACAGCGCAGCGCGAGGGCCGCGTCAGTGCTCTGCTGGCCTACTTTGACGCACACTTTACCTGCAGGGGGGCTGCCGGCCAGGACCCTGTGGTGCTGACGACGCACCCCATGGCGCCGGCGACAGGGTGGCAGCAGACGATCTTCAGCTTCCCGCGAGCCCTTCAGGTGGGGTCGGGCGCCATCCCGCTATTAATCGGTCCGCGTAACCGCTCTGCCGCCATCCTGCCATTTCTCCGCCGCCCGACTACTTTTGGGTTTAGGGCTCGTCGACTCCTTTGGTCACGTGACCAGGGGAACTGCTCGGGCAGCTTCCCGGCTGAGCTAGTACACCCACACGACCCCGACTCGGCGCCCAAACCAACCCCCCTGCCCCCATCGGC